CCTCACCTCATTTCTGGCAGAGTTCTCTCTCTGGCAGTGACATTCCTGGCCCAAATCTCTCTCAATGAAATCACTGGCAAATTTCCCAATACCTTGAATAAGGCCAGAATCGGGTCCCATGACCAGTAGATGCATGTGCATCTCTCATCGTACTGTAAGCAGCAAAAGCTCATGACTGCTATCTAGCAATCCAATCTGAGGGGCTGGTGACACCTGAGCATGAGTTGATTATATTAACACTTGAAGGCATAGACAGAACTAACTTACTTACAACACCAGAAAAGGTAACGCCTTGCTTAAGGAAAAATCTGTTCCAACTACCTTAAAATACTCTTTCTCTTATTCAAGTGATCAACAAGGAAAAAAAAAAAAAAACCGCAAACAAAAAAAACCTCAAAACATTCCTCCTTACTGATCAAAAGACAAAAACTGACAGAAGTTATTGCTACAAATATCAAATAAATACTTTGTTTAAACTATTTTTCATTAAAATTCACCTGTCCAATTCATTTCCATGAGCATTATTCAGAAAGAAAACAACCCAAAAATAAAATTCTTAAAATGTATCTTCTACTTTTTGCACACTTTTTAGAAAAGGTTTTATTTATTTAATTCTGGGTGGTTCAATGTAATCCAGCATCTATAAAACTGTAGCTCGGGAAACTTTTTACAGAATCTTAGAGTGGTAAAAGGCAAAACAGAAATGCTGTTTTAGAAGCAGCGGGTACCATTTCTAGTCTAAGACCCATACTGAAGGTAGCTGCTTTTCAAGCTTAGCAATGGAACAATTAATAAAGGAACCCATTAAGGTCTGATTGTTGCTGCTAAAAAGGAAGGTTGAATTTCAGTCCTTTGAAGTAACTGAGAATGATTCAGGCCTCATTACAGAGATATAATCTACATTCATACATTTATGTTAGTGATTCAAATCTATTGGGACAGATTGAATTCCGTTAAATAGTGCATCTTTCCTGTGGAACTTTTCTCAGGCTTTCTCAGGCTAACCTAAGAGGTGACCTGACAATACAAAGTAGTGGGGTATTTAGGGATTCAACTGTGCTATAAAAGAAAGGCTATACAGAAAGTAGAAAAAAGAATGAGATATAATCTAAAAAGTTATGTCAGCTTTTCATTTGGACTCTGTTTTGTAAAAATGCCCCCCCTGTCATCACTCGGGATAGAAAAGGACTCTATGCGTTGTAGTAGTTTTAGTACTGTACTGAATATTGCAACCTGCCAGAAGCAGATTTAATATGAAATTCCAGATACGTGGGTTTTTTCTTAGCCAGAAGATCTTACAACCAACATACAGCCAATCACAAACTAGGAACAGGTCTAGGCAGAACACTTCTTCAGTAAATTCAAGACAGCACCTATTTTCTTAATGAGTAGGGGTTAAATATATCTGTTTGACCCCCAAGCTACTATTTTCTCCTGCCACCAGAGATCCTGAAAGGCCAGTTGGCTGTATTTTCCAGAATTTGACAGGAAAAGGAGAAAAAAGCAAAAGGTTTCTTCAAATGTATAATTTTAAGATATTATGGTAATTATTTATTATTTAAGCTGCTGGAATCAAAAGAGCTTCAATTTTAGAAATAACATGTTGTACCCTTCATGACTTAGAGAGCAAGCAAACACTGACATCAGCTTTGTAGACATACATGTAAGTTGTCAGGCATTCACTGAAAAGTAGGCTTTTGTTCATTTTGGTTTTATTTCTTATTTTTTATTAGTTGCCACAAAAGAAAAGCCTAAATCAGATTCACAAAAAAAAAAACCCCAACAAACCCTGAAATGCTTCGCACTCAGTGCAAATACAAGCAGAATAAATACTCTGAAGTACCATAAACAACATCATAAAACATATTGATTCTAACATTAAATGGTTTCATTTTTAAGGCTGTTTAAATGTCACCCCCAGAAGCTGAACACATAAATTTAGGAGCCGACTCTCTCCAGAATAAACACCATAATTGGAGAAAATCATTTCTAATTTCTGTTGTGAAGTTAACAATATATTTAACATCCTAATCAGTCTAATTTTAGAACTATTTGTTCTTTTTTGCATTTTCTGTTGTTTAAATTAAGATTTACTCCAAATGCCAAATGTAATTGCATAGGCAGTTTTCCATTGCATTCCACTGATCAGCATTACTAAACTGCCTCTGTTTCAAAAAAGTTCTGGGTTTACGTATCGAGCTACTCACTGTGTTTCTGTACCACTTTGCTTCTCTGCTAGTCCCGTTCCCTTAGGAAACATTCCACCTACTTGCATTCCAAAACAGTTATTTTACAATACTAAATACTGAACCAAAATTTAATATCTTGCATGCTGCCCATATCCTGTCAGTCCTTGATCCCTTATTCTGGTGTTAAAAGATAGTACATCATATGGAAGATGCCCGTTAGTTACTGGGAAAGTTGACAGTTCAGTGATGGGCTAGAAATAGGAATCTGTCATAACATTCAGTATGTGAAATGAGAAATCCATTAGGAGAGATGGAATCAAAGGAAACGCCAACAACATATGCCCCTCCAGGAAAATAATAGCTTGAAAAATCCCTTTAAAATAGCCTTGAAAATGGAAAAATTGTTCCTTTCTGGCAAAGGAACTGCACTAGTTTAAAAAAAAAAAAAAGACAGCAAAATACTCAGACAGATTTTATGGGGAAACCTTTGCAATCCCAATAAAGCCCCTTTTTCTTTGAAGTCAGACGCGTGATTCAGTAAATGACTCATGTTAGCAATTAGAAAATGGTCATTTAGGGCCCTGATTTCTTTTTGAGACAAGGAGGGTGAGGGTGGGGAAAGAGACACAATAAATCTTGAGAGGCTTAAAAGGAAGAGCAGGCTAAAGTGTGAACTTTTTATTTCAGCAACGGAAGCGAGAAATCAGTGATTCATTAAAGGAGGGAGAAAGACCTCCATGGAAGCTGGCAAAGAGGAAGGAAAAGGAGCTAATTATGTCTCTTCCCTTTTTACTCTCTCTGACCAGCATATAATCTGCTTTTCCAGGGTCTGCCTGTAGTATATACTTCTTTCCAACCTCTCCACCCAACCCCTCCTCCAGCGGGGGGGAGGGGGAGATCTAGCAGGCAACAAGCTCCAGGTGGCTTTCTCAAGCACTTCACTGCCAAAAAAATAAAATAAAAATCCTCCGCTAGAAAACAAGTTTCTTTTGCGGGGAGGGAGGGAGGGGAGGAAAGCCTCCCCGCAGCGGGCACCGCTCGCTGCAACTGCAAACGGGTTTCAGATGTCCCACCGCTGCTTGACCCCCTGCAAATAAGGGTTGACCACCAGAGGCACGTCCCACCTCTGACTTGTAATCGCTGACATTTAGGCTTCAGCTTCCAACCTGTTTACAACCAGAGGGGGAGGGAAAGGAAAGGAAGGGAAGGGAAAAGGCAAGGCGGGGGGAGTCAAGTTGGGTTTTTTTCCCTCTCTCTCTCTTTCTCTGGATTTTTTTTTAAATACTGTTCTGGAGAATTCAAAACAAAGAAACTGCTTCCTCTGGGGTTGTCAGTGAAAAAGGACGAGTTGTGCAACTGGTTTGGGATTTGCAAAAAGGCAAGGGGGTGGGGATCAGAAGAAGGTGCAAAGCCACAAAGTGTGAGTGCATGTGTGTTGTGTAAAGGAGTATGTGTGAAAAATCCCTTCCAGCACCCTTTCCGCTGGTTATTATTTTTTGTTGTTGTTGTTGTTCACTTTGCTGTCATCTATTTTTCAGACCTTTCTGCATCTAAGATGGTGAAGAAAGGAGTGAGGAAGAGAACAAAATAACTACTGGGAAGTCTCAAACCAGGTTGGGGAGTGTGTGTCTATGTAGGGGGGTGGTGTGGGGAAGAGAAAAAGGAAAGAGGATTAACGGCAGCAAACCCACCCCCCCGCCCCAAAAAAAAAAAAAAACCAAAAACCAACAGCGCTTTTTTTTCTGAGGGAGGACTCGAAGGATTAAAAGGCAGCAACTTCTGAGGCGAATTGTCCCCTGAGTTATGGATGTTGGTGCACTTACTTCAGGCCAGATCAGAGCTCAGAGGGATCTAACCAGAAGCAGCAACCACCGGCTCTCCACTTGCCTTTTACCAGGTTTTACCCTTCCAGTATGTTTCATTCGATAAGACACTTTCCAGCGCCCAGAGTTTCAGTACAATGTGCAAATGGATACTGACAAATGGTGCCTCAGCCTTTTCCCACCTGCCTTGTTGCTGCTTGCTGCTGCTCTTCGTGGTGTCTTCCCTGCCTGTCACCTGCCATGACCTCGGCCAGGACATGCTGTCCCCGGAGGCCACCAACTCTTCTTCTTCATCATCCTCCTCCTTCCCCTCGTCCTTCTCCTCTCCTTCCAGTGCGGGGAGACACGTGCGGAGCTACAATCACCTCCAAGGAGACGTGCGCAAGAGGAAGCTCTACTCTTACAACAAGTACTTTCTCAAGATCGAGAAGAACGGCAAGGTCAGCGGCACCAAGAAGGAGAACTGCCCCTTCAGTAAGTACGCTC